GGAGGAGGAGGAGGAGATTGGATTTATACCCCGCCCTTCACAACCCAAAGGTGTCTCAGAGCGGCCTACAAACTCCTTTCCCTTCCCCTCCCCACAACAGACACCCTGTGAGGTAGATGGGGCTGAGAGAGCTCTTCACAGAGACTGCTCTTTTCCAAGAACAGCCCTTATCAGAACTATGGCTTGCCCAAGGCCATCCAGCCAGGTGCAAGTGGAGGAGTGGGGAATCAAACCCGGTTCTCCCAGATTAGAGTCCACACACTTAACCACACCAAACTGGCTCTACTACTAGACCTTGGGGGCATCCAATTAAGTTGATGGGTAATAGATTCAGGATCTCATGCCCCAATGCAGTAAAACTCTGAATACTGGAACTAGGAAATGAAATTATGAGAAAGGGTTTGTTGCCCCCCCCGGGCAATTGGTTGGTCCCTGGATGAGGCAGGACACTGAATTGGGTGAACTGCTGGTCTGATCCAGCTGGGCACCTCTATGTTCTTAACTTCAGTATTCTTGGGGGGGTGGGGTTGTACTTGAAATTAAAAAAATAAAATCATTGCAGAACCAGGTGCTGTTTCTTTCATAATTGCTCAATTTATGACTGTAACTCTACATAGGGAGTTGCGGTGGCTCAAGTGGTTAAGACGCTGAACTGCAAGCTGTGGAAGGTCAGTAGTTCAGCAGTTCGAGACCCAAGTTGCGGCATGACGGAGTGAGCGCCCGTCTCTAGTTAAAGCTCCTGCCCAACCTAGCAGTTCGAAAGCAAGAAATTGCAAGTAGATAAATAGGGACCACTTCGGTGGGAAGGTAACAGCGTTCCGTGCGCCTTGGTGTTTAGTCATGCCGGCCACATGACCACGGAAATGTCTTCGGACAGCGCTGGCTCTTCGGCTTTGAAACGGAGATGAGCACCGCAACCCTAGAGTCGGATTCGACTGGCTTTCGAGCAAGGCTTTCGAGCAAGGGAACCTTTACCTTTACTATAACTCTACATAAGAGTGCACTTCCTCAGATGCTCATACCTTGCATAAAGCTTTGTTGGCCTTAAAGGTGCCACTGGACTCAAACTTTGTTCTTCTGCTTCAAACTAACACGGCTACCCCACCTGAAAGTCTTCCTAAGCTTGACTCCCCGGCCGGATCTTTGCTTGGAATCTGGCTTGGAGCAGCAGCAGGCGACGGGGGGGATGTTCTTCGTTTCGCTTTAGCTGTTAACCGACCTGAAGAGGCTCTTAGCCGTGCAAGTACCATGCTGGGCTTCCTAAGGGCACGAGGCCATGGCCGGTAGGTGACTTGCTTGAACACTTTCCCATCAGGTTGGGGTTTTTTTGGGGGTGTGTGTGTGTATACTTTGCTTTCTCGTTCACCGACCTTCTCACCCATTCTGTAAAACACCTGCTTGCCAGTTCACCGGCGTCTCCTTCCTCACTTGATTCTTGCCTCTGGGGTCTCCATTGTCAGACATATCGGGATCCCAGTCTCCCCCCCTCTCCAAACAGCCTACCCGCCATTCCGTGCTTAGGGCAACCCGTTTGCTGCTCAGTGGTAGACATGCGGGCCGGCGGGGGGGGGGAGCACACGCCTACATCAGAGAAGAAACTGACTTTCGCGGGGCTGGATAGCAGCAACCGCCCTCCCGCTGGAGAATCAGCCCGTGGAATGCAGAGAGAGAGCAAGGGCTGCTGGGGTGAGGGCCAGACCTCCCCAGAGGGCTCTTCTTGGGGCCAGTGCTACGCAGGAAGGCAGGCAGGAAGGGAGCCGACGACTGCACTCCTCGTTGCGGGGACCAGCCATTTGCTCCCTTCGCTGCGACCGCGGGCGGGCAAGCTGGCTGGCTGGTGGGGGTGATGTGGGTGCTCCTGGCTGCTGGGCGACGCCGACGCTGTCCCTGTCCCTGCCGCGGCAGCAGCAACACCAGGAGGAGGGAGGCTGGTGGTGAGCCCGGAGGGAAGCAGAGGTGCGGCTGAGGGAAGCAGGCGGCCAGGCGCGGCTGGGCGACCCAGGCAGGCGGAGGAGGAGGCCGTAGGCTTTTGGCAGGGGCTGGGGGGCTTTGGCGGGGGGGCGTGTCCAGTTTGACGCCCTAAGGGCCGGCCCATGCTCTAGGCGAATGCCTAGTTCACCTAGCGGGTGAGCCAGCCCTGAATAACCGGCTGCTGATGGATTATATTTACCTTTTCAGACTATCCAGCTTGTGTCCCGTTCAGGAAGCGTTCCTGAGGCCTTCTAGTTGAAAACAGCTTTGTTCCATTTTAAATTCCATCTTCCACTTCTGAATCGCTGTGATGCTGTATAAAATGCCCCCTAGAGCGCTTCCTTTAATGCCACTGTCTTCTCAACCTGCTCATGCACGCATATAGCATGTATCTCTATATAATCTTTGGACGGCTTTATTATGTTTAAATCTGTACTGTTTCTTTATCCCTTAATGGTATACTCTATGTGAAAGGTGCAATCACATGACCAGTTTAACTAATTATAAAGCTCCAACTTTTTTAAGTTTACCCACACTGCTTTTTACTTATGAATGCTGTGGCAACACAATCAAAGAAGGAAATGTTTGGACCACAAGTAACTAGTTTATTATTAGTAGTAGTAGTAGTAGTAGTAGTATTTATATTTGGGCCTTAAATTGTTTGATATACTGATTTTCATTTTTTCTCCTTAGGTTTATAATCACTGGGCTAGTGATTGCACTTTAAAGGTCTTATGTGCATATTTACCTTGTGCCTGGTGATTTTACTTTTGAAGTAAGTTTATGGTCTATATTTATAATTGGCTATATAGATTTCAATTTTTTAATTTTTTGTAAAATATGTGTGTTTAATCTTTTATTTTTTACAGCAATTTACTTTATGGTCCTCATTGAATCTGTACTTTGTATATATTTCTGATTGTGTTTATGTGAAAATAATTATTAACCATCTTGCCACATATGTATGACCTCTGAGGAAGGCCTATTTGGCCGGAACGCGTAAGGTCAACTTTGTAAGCCCTTGATATTGTTATATTTTATATACATTGGTTGTAAATGGGCCTCTATATATGTTTTAAATTTTGTTATTATTATTAATAAATACATGTACCTCTTTTTATCTTTTATGGAAAGGTTTTAATATTGGCCCTCCTTTTCACTAACCTTTGCTTGGTTTTGAAATCATAGTCAACCATCTTCCTTCATCACTCTCCACCGTTGTCTCTCTTACATTCCTGGCTTCTTTGGCAGAGAGACAGAAAGTGAACAGTGTTATACAGGGAAGGGAAGAAATCCAAGGGAGAGGAAAAATTTGTCTGATTAAAATCAAAGCCCCAAATCCCAACCAGAATAAAGGAAATGGATCC